ATTATAATTTCATTTAAATTGCTTATAAGGAAACTGGAATTTTCAGACATTATATATGACTTCATCTGCTTTCCACTGAAGTGTTATCTTAAATGCTCTGCCAGGAGTTTTTTGATTTCCCAAAGGTCTTAACTGAATCACAATATAGGACAGACAGGACTTGACTTCCTCAGACATAGAGCAAACAGGTTGGTTTCAGCCTGTCTAGAAACAAATGAGATTCAAGCAGAGGCAGAGTTCCTGCCAGAAGACAGCCTTAGCAAGTGGCTACAAAGTCCTTCAAAGGTGACTCACAACATTGGAACCACTCTCACTCCTTCTCTCCTTACAGAATCTCTCTGTTCCAGTTATGTGAACAGTCAGACTCAGGGATAGTAATATTGAGAGTACGAAAAAAAAATCTAGAAGTGTTCATTTCAATCCAGTCCCAAATATTCATTTCAAGGATAAATATAAACAAAAATAAATTGATTATTACTCCATCATTCCAGTCACTTGATTAGAAATATGAGTAAAATTCTCCATAGATTTATCTCATAGGCAGTCACTTAGTTTAGATAGATGGTGATAATAAATAAGTTTTATCAGTTATTTGTCTCTTTCATTGAGGCCACTATTTCTTGCAGGTATGGTCCAAAGAGAAACAGTCTACCCAATATACACTTGCCACAGGTGCAGCTTTCAGTAACTTCATTGCCTGATTAGCATGTACATCTTCTATGATTATTACAGCCAATTCTCCATTATCCATGAGTTGATTATGGATTTACAGTTTATCATACTTATGAAAGAACAAAATTAATCTTTTCCAATCAGCCAAAATATCTACCTATTCAAAGGTATCAATCGTTTGGACTGACATAGTAGCAATTTGATGTTACATTGTTTCTATTATAATATGGGAATCCCCACTACCACTACCAATCAGACACATCAGATACACACAGGTTCCTTTGCTAAAACAAACAAATAAACCCATTGCTGTTGTCATGGTTTGAATTATGTCCCCCCAAAAATGTGTGTATCAATTTGGCTAGGCCATGATTCCTGGTACTGTGTGATTTTCCTGTATGTTGTAAACCTGCCTCTGTGATGTTAATGAGGGAGGATGGGTGGCAGTTGTGTTAGTAAGGCAGGACTCAGTCTACAAGATTGGATTGCATCCTGAGGCAACGTCTTGAGATATAAAAGACAGAAGTGAGCAGAGAGACAGGGGGACCTCATACCATCAAGAAAACAGTGCTGGGAGCAGAGCGCGTCCTTTGGACCGGGGTCCCTGCACAGAGAAGCTCCTAGTCCGGGGGAACTCTGAAGAGAAGAAGGCCAACAGAGAGAAAAAGCCTTACCCTGAAGCTGATGCCCTGAATTTGGACTTTTAGCCTACTTTGACTATGAGGAAATAAACTTCTCTTCATTAAAACTATCCACTTGTGGTATTTCTGTTGTAGCAGCACTAGATGACTAAGACAGCTGTCGAGTCGGTTCCAACTCATAGCAACCCTATAGGACAGAGTATAACTGCCCCCATAGGGTTTCCAAGGAGTGGCTGGTGGATTTGAACTGCTGAACTTTTGGTTAGCAGACAAGTTCTTAATAATAGCTAACTTTTATCAAGTCACCATGCCAAGCATTTTACCTGAATTATGCTTAGGTCATTTAAACCCCACACCCCATAACTAGGTACAGCAATATTATTGTCCCCGTTTCTGAAGCACAGAGAATTTAAGCAACTGCCCAGTGCTATAAGCTTTTAAATGATCAAGCCAGAATTTGAATCTAATTCTGTCTGTATCATGTAGTAGGCATGTATATGTTTAAATGTGAGTAAATAACCCTAATAATCAGTATGTTCAAATACAAAAGAAAATAGGTAGCGCTTAACATTTAGAAAGCGAGCCCTGTTGGCACAGTGGTTAAGTGCTTGGCTGCCCAAAAAGTCAGTGGTTCGAACCCACCAGCCACTCCACAGGAGAAAAGACCTGGCAATCTGTTCCCGTAAAGATTATGGCCTAGGAAACCCTATGAGGCAGTTCTACCCTGTTATACAGGGTCACTTAGTTGTAGTCTACTCAATGGCAGCAGGTTTGATTTTAGTTTTAACATTTAGAATAGAAAATTTCAAACAACTGGAAAAGGTTTGAGGTGGTGCATATTAAACAACCTGCATTTCACTGTGAAATAAGGAAACAAATGACTTATGAATTGGAAAAGAAGAAATTAGGATTTGTGGGGGAGGGGCTGCATTTTCATCCATTTCCTCTGGGTTACTGAAAAAAATGAAGAAATAAAAGCAAAAGTTCTCTAACGGTGACTTTAATAAGTGTTGATTTGATTTAACTAGCAAACACTACAGAGAACACTAGTGTTTAGTGTTTTACTAATTAATCTTAACCAAGAGAGCTGAAATAATAAATTGGCTGAAACAGTAAATCTTGGCTGAGCAAAACAAGATCACCCCAACAAAGCATTTAATCACCTAGACTGCAGGCTGAAAGGTGTAGCACAGGAAGCTGTACGGGCTTCATTCTGATATTTTAAAAGGGAGGGCTCAGCTAAGACACAGACAACAGGAACTGGCTATTCCAACGTACTGTAATCATTGAGCCATTTTTTACTATACAATTAATGTGCTGTTTGATATTTCTAAATTATTGCATTTGTAATCATTGGACATTTTAGATGATGTCCATAGAACGTAAATGTGTTACCAAATATTGAATGTGATTTTTTACCAGAAGTTTACATTAAATCCTTATCTGGATTAGTTTTGTTTTAGCCACGCATGTATTTTTATTTATTTAAAACTTATATACCCGTTAACTATGTGTGAGGCACTATTCTAAGAACTTAAACGCTTAATGAATGGGATTTTCTGTGACCTTTTCCCTTACTATTACCAGGTTTAGGAGTTAACTGAATGGCATAGAAGAATGAATCTCTGGATGAGAAGGAGGCCAACTAGCCCAATTCCTCATCTGCTGCATGAATCCCTGTTTTGTAACCACATCCAGCAAGGGGTGCTGAAACTAAGCATGAACACCTCCAGTGAGAGGTTCAGGTGAGTCCCCAGAAATTCAGAAGGCATCCAATTGTTCCTAACATCTGACCCACATGGGTAAATGCACCATACATCTGTTAATACTAACTTGATCTCATGGGAAATTCAATGACGATCCAGAGGAATAAAGTGTTGCCTTATAACCCAGGGAACAAAGAAGTTGACCCCAGATATTACCTGAGGGGGTCTTGGCTATGAGAATGAATAAGAAGGGCCTGAATCATGGCCATGAAGGAATTCATGGTCTAAAACCCACATCTCTTACAAACAATGTTAAAGCTTGAGAGGAAGGTTAGAAGGGTCAGCATTTTTGTATTTCCACATTTCAGAAGTTGTGTGGACATCACCAAGCATTCACTAATTAATCATTCATTCATTGTGTTAGGGTGAATTATGGCCTCCAAAGATATCCAGGTCCTAATCCCTGGAATCCGTGAATGTTACTTTATATGACAAAAGAAACTTTGACAATGTGATTAAGTTAAGGATCTTGAGATGGAGAGAGTATCCTGAATTATCTGGGTAGACCCTAAATGTAATCACAAATCCTTATAAGAGAGCGGCAGAGAGATATTTGACACAGAAGAGAAAAAGATAATGTGATGATGGAGCAAAGAGTGGAGTGATGAGTTCTGAAGATGGAGTAAGGGACCCCAAATCAAGGAATACAGGCAGTCACTAAAAGTTGAAAAGGGTAAGGAAACAAGTTTTCCCTCAGAGCCTTCAGAAGGAAACAGCCTTGCTGACACCTTGACTTTATTTAGCCCAGTGAAACTAATTTCAGACTTCTGACCTCCATAACTGTCAGAGAATAAATTTGTGTTGTTTTAAGCCTCAAAGTTTGTGGTAATTTTTTATAGCAGCCATGGGAAACTAATACATTCATCAAACATATATTGATCATCCACTGGGGTTCAAGCACTAGGCAAGGCTCTTGATTTACAAAGAATGGTGTCTGCCCACTAGGCTCCCCCACCACCCACCAGCCCCCATGCCATCCTTGGCATAATGGACAAGGCACAGCTTTGATGTCAGTTAAACTTGGGTTGGAATAATAGGAATAATGATTTATTGCTGAGTGGCCATGAGCACATTTATTTAACATCTCTGAAACTCAACTTCCTTATCTCCAAAGGGGGAAGGGGTTATTCTACTATTTAATTTGGCTCTTGGGAAGGTTAATAATAATAGGAAATCTGGAATTTATTGAACGTTTACTAGGGGGTGAACACATTATTTTATTTAATCCTTACAATAACACCAAAAAGTAGATAGTACTATTGACTCAATTTTACAAATTATATTCCAATATGGAAAAGGGGAACAAATAATTAGGGAACTAAGGCTTAGAGATTGCCTTGCCATCTTGCCTGAAATCAGGTAGGGATTTAAGCCAAGTCCACCGGACTGTCCTTAATTACCACACCTGACCAGAGATGTAACTAAGGTATAGCAGGTAGGTCGTGTGCCCTGGGTGCTGCTGTGTATCCTGGGCACTGCTTAAGGTGGGGCGCCAATGAGAGTTTCTATTGGCCATTACAGTTTCCATCGCCAGCTGTGAGAGATCATTCAGCAATTTAACACTAATTGCCCTAGGCACTATTTTCCTTAGATAGGTTCCTACACCTGACTCTTGATAAGTGCTCAATCAGTGTTTGTTTCCTTTCTCTTTCCTGCCCTCATGGTCATCAAATAGACTTTTGCCTTTTGGGGGCTTGGGTTTATGTGAGCCTGGACTGCTAACAGAACTAACACCAGCAGAAGAGGGTAGGCTTACTCCTGTGGGCTAAGGTAGGTACAGTGAGTGCCCTTTGGACAGAGACCAAACAGACTCTCCAGGCTCTGAGATTCCATGAATACCGAGTCCAGCACTCGACAAAACCTGCAAAGGCTATACCCAGGCACCCTCACCCAGAGAAGGCGTAAAGGAATTTCAAAGGACCTTGTTCCTCAGTTGTTCCTGTTTTTTCTTGGCTCCATTCACTCCAGAACCTTGACTCCTCAGCTGCACATCGTAGAGTTAAGACATATTCCGTAAAAGCCTGCAGCCCTGTGAGGTCATATGTTTGGATTATACTGATATCTTCCCTGGTGAAGTTGACTTCCAGCTGAAAGGCAAAGACAAGTCTGAGCTGAAAGGGAGACAGCACATTTTCTCTCTCCATTTTTCCTCTTTACTCCCCAACTCACTCTTACCTTTTCAGAACTAGTAACACTGTATCTCAAATTTTAAAATATATTATTTTATAAATAAGCTTCCACATGTGCCTGGGGAAATTTGCACCTAAACAGATGTGAATCACCCCAAGAACCAGCACCTCCCTTTCCATTTCCTGTCTCTAAGCATGTGAGGTGGGATCAGGGGCAGAATAACGAGTAAGCAAGGTATGAATGGGCTCATTTGTGTTTACTTACTAATCTGTAGTGCACAATTTCACATGGTTTCACCACATCTTTGCTGTTGTGACCAACAGGTGAAACTGTGCACTACAGATTAATAAGCAAGCACAAGTAAACCCATGGTACCTTGCATATTGGGCAATCCATGTCTAGGTGGGATTCATGCCTCTGGACTGGGGCTGAATGAGCAGGTCCTTGCTGCTTGCTGTTCTAGAAGATGCAAGATGGAGCCCTGTGACTCAGGGCAACCTTGGCCAGCGTTTAAACTCTAGGGGTGACTCCAACACCTAGAAATACAGCCTCATGGAACAGTAGGTGACAGAGACCTTAAAGGCATCAACCCTCATGTCATAGATGAAATCCAAAAGAGTTAAGTGTCCACAGACAACCTAGGCATTTGTTACTGGCAGAACTAGCATCAGAATACATGTCCTCACTTCTAGGCTCCGTACCTTTACCCAAGTCTTCCATTTCCAACTGTTGGTCTTTGGGTGATCACTTAAGCTGCTAAATGACTCAGCAGCCCAGATGTATAAATTCACTTTGACACTCTCTTAAGGATGGGGATGGCAAATACACCACTTCTCTCTAGACCTCAGTTTACTCAGCAGTAAAATGAGCATGTTGCATAGATAATCTCCAAAGTCCCTTCCAGACCAAGCCCTCCAAGAAAAACTAAAAATTCAACCATTCCTGTCTAAGCATGGTCATAGTTGCTGCAATATACAGTTTTGGCTGTTGGTTTATATAAACAAAGTAAATTGATTAATAAAATAAACTGCACTAATAGGCATGTCCATTTTATTAATATACATACTGCATGCATAGTCTCATGGAAACTTGCAAGAGAAGGAAGTCCTGATACTATGTGTATATACAGTGATGAAACTTACTACATAATTACAAGTCCTGGGCCTAAAGGAAATTGGGCAAAAGGAGGAGGCATGTCTTTGGAAGAAGGCTGAGCATCCCAGCTGCAGAAGGACAAGTCTGGTCTCCAAGTCTAGTGAGATAGACTCAGAGAAGGAGGTAGGATCCACTGGTGATAGCAGATTTGCTGTTGAACCCCAGGCTCCCTGAGCGCCCTCTTCCAAACAGCCCCTGGAGATGCTGGGGCAGCAGACAAGGGTTGTGGGGAGCATAATGAGGGACAATCCATCATTTCTACGGAAGCATCCTTCCCAAGTTACCCTTAAAGGGTCCAGCTGGCACAGGATTAAGACCTCTAGGAAAGGCCCAACCACATGGTGACCTCCATGTGTAATTCAAAATAAAAACAATACTAATCCATAAAATAAATCTCAGGAAATCTAATAAATTTTTATTTTACTTGGTATGCTTTTTTTAAAAAAAAATCACATTCTTTAAAAAACGTTTCTAATGTTTCTAATGCTTTGCTGGTACTCTCAGCACATGCTTGGCCTGTCTGGTGGATCTCCTCATGGTCATGCTCAGAAAGCTCTGACCAATGTAAACATTTAAGCTTTTCCTTACCAGTCCCAACCCTGGAGGAAACAAAAAGCTGCTCATTATTTTAAACAATGTGCCTCTAAATCAGAATGAAACCAGTTGTCATTGAGTCAATTCCAACTCATAGCAACCCTCTGGGGACAGAGTAGAACTGTCCCATACAGTTTCCAAGGCTGTAATCTTTACAGAAGCAGGCTTCTACATCTTTCTCCTGCAGAGCAGCTGGTGGGTTCAAACTGCTGACCTTTCAGTTAGCAGCTGAGCACTTAACCATTGTGCCGCCAGGGCTCCTGTAAGGCTCCTTTAACTTGGCTTTTTGTCCAGGCTAGTGTCTTTTGGCCTTCACAGCACCCAGGATCAACTAATACTTCATGTACGGCCTTAGATCTGAAACTTCCCCAACTCAACATATGCAATGGAATCCCACCCAAACACTAATTAGCTTTATCTGGTTTGTTTTCAACAATCTACACTTTGTGCCAAATCCTAGCTCACCCAAAGTGTTTGGTCTTAAGAAAAGAGTTACAAGTTTTGATGCAAAGCCTAACTCAAACTCTCAAAAAAATCTTGAGATCCCTTTGTAGGGAAGACACATGGTTCCATTATATAAGGTGGAAACCCTTTGGACTAGGGCTACAGGAAGGTGGCTTGGAGGTTGCAGAAGTTTAGTCACATTGACAAATGGACTTGCAGTCAGAAAAGCTTGGCTCAGGTCTGCAACTTACAAACCTTGTGATCTTGAACAGGTCATTTATGCTCTCTAAATCTCAATTTCTTAATCTGTAAAAAATAAGGACAGCAATGCCTGTTTAAAGATATGCAAAGATTAAATAGTTTGGGGTATTAAAAAAACCCTTTGTAAACCATACAACATCATGCAAATATGGGTCTTGATATATGGACATGTTGGAATTTTAAGATAGCTTTATAAGGTTTAATTCAGTGAAACAAACATTTATCGAGCACAGGCATGTGCCAGGCAATGGGAAAGCAAAGGTGAAAACTAAGGTCCCTGTCTTTGAGAAGCTTACAGTCTAATGTGGAGACAGGCAAGTTTAAATGACTGTGTTAATGGTTGACTGCCATGAGACAGCATGCACAGAAGGAAGGCTCAGGCTCTCAGAAGGAAATATGTCAAACCTGAGTTCTGAAAGATGAATAGATTTAGCAAGGTTTGGAGCAGGAGAAGTACAAAATTAAGGATGTTCTAGGTGGAGGCACAGAATAAGGAAATGACATGATGCAAGGGAAATGAGCAATTCAGAATTACTAGAAAATCAAGGGCATGATGAAAGATGAGGTGGAAGGAGTGAGTAAGGGGCCAGGTCCTAGGGAGTTAATGATTTGGATCTTATTCCATAGATAATGGAAACCATTGATAGAAGGTTGGGTTGGGTCTAGTTGGGTTTAGAACTGAGGAGACTTGCTTGTGTTTGAAAGATGAACGGAGAGAGAGGATACTGCACATTTCACCTTCCTTCCCACATCCTCTAGGAGAAGAGAAGGGACATCTCAACTCAGGAATTTAAAGGAAGGAGGCAAGGATGAATGCAGATATAGCTGAGTTTGTCAAAGAGGTAGGGGTAGAGGATGCAGAGACTTGGGGTGGTTCATACCTGCTGGCTTCACTTAGTGTTGTACATGGCCTAGTAATTTTTCCAGAAGGACATAGATTCTGGTTTGTTTTTCTTGTTTAATAATGCGCTTTGAATTCTATTCTAGCAGCTGCAGTGACTCAGGACCCAGACAACTGGAAGGAATCAAGGAATCAAGGGTTGCTAGTCCGTAGACCACTTCAGAAGTCCCTAGGTTTACTGAGACCATGAAGCATGGTGTGAAAGAAGACGAGCTCTTTGAGCTTTAGCTTGTGCTGTGCCAGGGACTGTCATGTTTAGGGGTTCCCTTCTGGGTTACAGAGACTACAAATCAGTGAGTCTGATGTCACATGTCGTCAGGTTCTGGGAAAATGATTCCAGAGCTGTCTCAAAAAGGAAGCTGCAAAGAGGAGTGGCCAAAATCATTTCTTTGAACACAGAAAGAGTGAAACTTAACAAAATTTCTTTTCTGGAAGAGTTCTAGACTAGGAGAGGATGCAATAGACATAGTGTCTATGCGGTTCAGTGAAGGAAAGTCTCACGATAGCCTCGTGGACAAGATAAAAATAGGCACACTCACAGAAGCCTGAATAAATGACCACACACAAAGAAGGCACGGTGAAAAGGTTGATATCTCTGGATAGTCTCTACTGGTTTACCACGGGGCTCTGAGGTAGTTAACATTTTTATTAATAATTATATAAAGGTATAGAAGTAAGTATTATCAAATCTGAAGATACTGAAAAGCTGGAAAGGTAACTGTAAGTTTTGGGTGACAGCAGAAACATTCTAAGTAGGCTGGAATGATGGATAAGACCAACATGAAGACATTCAATAGAAATAAATAAAATGCCTAGACTTATTACTTGGTTAAAAAATAATATACAAATTATAAGATAGTTGCGACACTGTGGGGGTGGGGGAGATTTTTGAAAATTTAATTGGCTACAAGCTCAATTAGAACCAATAGTGTAAGGTGGTTGCAAAAAACAACAAAAAAAGTTGATATAATTTCAAGCTGCACTGATGGAAATAGGAGAATGTCTTCATGACTTTCAAGAAAGAAAATATTTTTTAAGACACAAAAGGCATGAATCATAAAGAAAAAAATTGATAAAATTTGGCAGTATTAAAATTAAGTTCTGTTTATTAAAAATCAACATTAAGAGAGTAAAAAGGCAAGGCACACAGTGGAAGACGTTAGCTATACACATAACAAATAAAAGACTCATAACCAGGATATATAACGAACTCCTACATGTCAATTTAAAAATTAGACAGACAACCCAATAGAAAAATGAGTAAAATACTTAAATTAGTCCTTCATAAGGAAAAAATGCAAATGGACAAAAAATACATGAAAAAGTGTGCAACCTCAGTGAAAATTAGGGAAATGCAAATTAAAGCCATGATTCCATTGTGTTCATACAATGGCATATTATGTTATTTTCATAATGAAAATGTATAAACTACAGCATTATATAAACCAGTTGCCATCAAGTTGATTCTGACCCCATGTGTGTCAGAGTAAAACTGTCCACCATAGGGTTTTCAATGGCTGATTTTTTGGAAGGAGATTGCCAGGTCTTTCTTCTGAGGTGCCTCTGGTTGGATTTGAAACTCCAACCTTTCAGTTAGCAACTGAGCACTGTACCTGAGCAAGTAACAGGGACTCCCAGCATTATATAACATGAACGAATCTTTTTGTTGTTGTTGTTGTACTTTAAGTGAAAGTTTACAATTCAAGTTAGTCTCTCATACAAAAATTTATACGTACTTTGTTATGTGACCCTAATTGCTCTTCCTATACAGTGAAAGCATACTTCTCCTTTCTACCCCTGATTTCCCGTGTCCATTCAACCAACTCCTGACCCTCTCTGCCTTCTCATCTCACCTCCGGACAGGAGCTGCCCATTTAGTCTCATGTATCTACTTGATCTAAGAAGCACAGTCTTCACGAGTATCATTTTATGTCCCATAGTCCAGTCTAATCTTTCTCTGAAGAGTTGGCCTCAAGAATGGCTTTAGTTCTGGGTTGACAGAGTCTGGGGGCCATGCTTTCTGGGGATCCTCCAGTCTCAGACCATTAAGTCTGGTCTTCTTACTAGAACTTGAGTTCTGCACCCCATTTTTCCCCTGCTCCATCAGGGGCTCTCTGTTGTGCTCCCTGTTAGAGTGGTCATTGGTGGTAGCCAGGTACCATCTAGTTCTTCTGGTCTCAGGCTGATGCAGTTTCTTGTTTATGTGGCTCTTTCTGTCTCTTGGGCTAATACTTTCCTTGTGTCTTTGGTGTTCTTCATTCTCCTTTACTCCAGGTGGTTGGGACCAATTGATGCATCTTAGATGGCTACTCGCTAGCTTTTAAGACCCCAGACACCACTCACCAAAGTAGGATGCAGAACATTTTCTTAATAAACTTTGTTATGCCAATTGACCTAGATGTCCCCTTAAAGCATGGTCCCCAGACCCCCGCCCCTGCTACTCTAGCTTTCGAAGTGTTTGGCTGTATTCAGGAAACTTCTTAGCTTTGGTTTAGTCCAGTTGTGCTGACTTCCTCTGTAGTGTGTGCTGTCCTTCCCTTAACCTAAGATAATTCTTGTCTACTGTCTAGTTAGTGAATATCCCTCTCCCTCCCTCCCCACCCTCGTAACCATCAAAGAATGTTTTATTCTGTGTTTAAACCATTTCTTCAATTCTTATAATAGTGGTCTTATACAATATTTGTCCTTTTGTGACTGGCTAAATTTACTCAGCATAATGCTTTCAGATTCCTTCAGAACACGAATGAATCTTAAAAAGACAATATTGAGAGAAAGAAGCCAAATACACACAAAATACATGGATTCAATTTATATGAAGTCTCAAACTACTGTTCAGGGATACATGCTTAAATGGTAAAACCATAATAAAAAGTAAAGATATGATTACCATGAAAATCAGGATAATAGTTAGCTCTAGGGGGAGGAGGGAGTTGTAATAAAGAAGGGGTATGCAGGGGTTTCAGGGTGCTGGCAATATTCTACTCTTGGCCTTTTTGTGATTGTTACGTGAGCATTGGCTTACTAACAATTTGTTAAACTTAACATTTATGTTTTGTCACTTTTTTATGTTATATTTCATAATTTTATAAAAGTTTCAAAAATTAAAAAGGAAAGGACTATGCCATAGAATCCCCAGCAGGCCAAAGTAGTTAGACAAAAACTAGGGAAGAGTGCAAAAATATTTTTTTTTCACTCATTAATGTTTCTGTGCTCAGAACGCAAAATGTCTACAATAGAACATTTTTTCCAATCTAGAAGACCCAAATGGGAAACTGAAAAGAAAAGTGTTCACTACTGTCTGTCTTCTACTATCAATGCAGCAAGTGAAGACTATGACTCCAGGTCAACAAAATTTGTCAATGATTCTCTTCCTTGAGCCCCCTAATGGAAATATTATAATGACATAACTTACCCACTTGGCACTATTTACTGTCCTGAATTGAAGCGTGTATTTTAAAACAGATGAAATAGGTGCCAACCTAGGCCTTCTCCATTTTATTTGAACCATTCGTTTGACACCCAGAGCTGGTTTCACACAGTATATCTCAGGTGGTTCGGTTTTCACTGAAAATAAAAAACATATAGTTCTCATATTTCCAAAAAGATGAGAAGTCTTAATAAGGTCACACAAAACTGAACGAAAAAAGTAAAGAAAAAGCCTAGCTATGAAATGACAGTGCATTGTTTGTAATCCACCATATGCAGATGACATTAGGAGGGAAGTACAAAAAAAGGAATGCCCAATGAAGACACATTCCTGCAATTTTTCTGCAAAGTAGCCTTTTACTAATTAGATCAGATTCTATGCCAAGAAGGCAGGAAAGAGGAGGAAATCATTGGACTTCATCAAAATTAAAATTTTTTGTGCTTCAAAGGACACTGTCAAGAAAGTGAACAAACCACAGAAAAAGAGAAAATATTTACAAGTCACATATCTTTATACATAGCACATAAACAACTCTTAAAGTTCAACAATAAAAAGACAAATAACCCAATTTTAAAATGTGCAAAGGATTTGAATAAACATTTATTCATATAAGATATACAAAAGGCCAATAAACACACGAAAAGATGTTTGCTATCACTAGTCACTAGGGAAATGCAAATGCAAACCACAATGAGTTTTCACTTCACACCTATTAGGATGGCTATAATAAAAAAAGATGACAATAACAAGTATTGGTGAAGACATGAAAAACTAGAACTCGCATACTTTGCTGGTGGGAATATAAAATAGTGTGACCACTTTGGAAAAGTTTGGCTGTTCCTCAGGAAGTTAAACATAGAGTTACCATATGACCCAGTAATTTTACTTCTAGGTATACACCTATATACCTAAGAAAACTGAAAACATATGTCCACACAAAAACTTATACACAAGTCAGGGATTAGCAAGACGTCTCTTGTTTCTCATTTGATCAATATACCTTGTCTTCCCTTCCCTTCATTCCTTTCTTCTTTCCTTATTTCCTTCCTTCTTCTTCAATAAGAAAATACCTTCTGTATATCCATAACACACACACACCCACCATATCTCTAAGCTTTGATTCTACTTTTCAGTCCACAGACACCTGTTTTGTAAAAAAGAGTATCTTTTAATAAAATATTGTATAAAGGTATCAAATAATACTTACCTATGTTATCTAAATTCCATTGTGTCATACTGGATTTAACTATACCATCTGTATTTTGAGCTTCCACTTCAATGGTGCAAATATCTGGGTTTGTTACGTTTGGATAGAAAAAAGAACACGAAGCACGATTTTCACTTTTACAAGTATCATTTTCACTTCCGTATAGGCTTTGAAGAAAAAAGTGATTCAACATGAGTTTTGTACAGCAGTTTGGAAACACAGCCATACTTAATATGTTAAGCATGTTATTTGTTAGCTACACTCTGGGTTTCTCTGAGAACTGGACAGTTCAGGATCTGGGGCTCTATCTCCAAATTCCTTCCTCACCTCCAAGGAGGGATAAAAGTTTCTGGCTTCCAGCCAGTCTGAGATGTTATGAGCCATGAAGCCTCCAGTAAGCCTATCAAAAGTTACACTAACAATGTATTCCCTATTGGCAAGAAATAATTAACAGACCCCAGAGAATCCCAGAGTCTAGCCTTGAGACTTTATTCTTAAAAGAAAAAAAAAAGAGAATTCATTAAATAATTATGGTACAGACATAAATAGAATTTAAAATGATGATTTTTTAATACATCTATATTTATTGAAATGAAAAGATGCCCATACTCTTTTGTTGGAGAAAGAAGCAAGATCCATATCATCTACAGAACAGTCACATTTATATAAACTTAAGTAGGTATTTCTGTAACTATGCATAGAGATAAGGGATATAACTGCTGATGTCAGACGGATAATGGCTGAAAGCTGGGAATACCAGAAAGATGTTTACCTGTGTTTTATTGACTATGCAAAGGCATTCTACTATGTGGATCATAACAAATTATGGATAATATTGCAAAGAATGGGAACTCCAGAACACTTAATCGTGCTCATAAGGAACCTGTACATAGACCAGAAGGCAGTCTTTTGAACAGAACAAGGGGATACTACGTGGTTTAAAGTCAGGAAAGGTGTGCATCAGGGTTGTATCCTTTCACCGTACTTATTCAATCTGTATGCTGAGCAAATAATCTAAGAAGCTGAACTATACAAAGACGAATATGGCATCAGGATTGGAAGAAGACTCATTAACAACCTACGATACGCAGATGACACAACCTTGCTTGCTGAAAGCGAAGAGGACTTGAACATTTACTGATGAAGATCATAGACCACAGCCTTCAGTATGGATTACACCTCAACATAAAGAAACAAAATCCTCACAAGTGGACCAATAAGCAACATCATCATAAACAGAGAAAAGATTGAAGTTGTCAAGGATTTCATTGTACTTGGATCCACAATCAATGCCCATGAAAGCAGCAGTCAAAAAAATCAAATGATGCAGTGCATTGGGCAAATCTGCTGCAAAAAACCTCTTTAAAGTTTTAAAAATCAAAGATGTCACTTTAAGGACTAAGGTGCGCCTGACCCAAGCCATGGTGTTTTCAATCGTTTCATATGGATGTGAAAGGTAGACAGTGAATAATGAAGACTGAAGAAGAATTGATGCCTTTGAATTATGGTGTTGGTGAAGAATACTGAATATTCCATGGACTTCCAGAAGAACAAACAAATCTGTCTTGGAAGAAGTACAGCCAGAATGCTCCTTAGAAGCAAGAATGGTGCGACTTCGTCTCACATACTTTGGGCATGTTATCAGAAGGGATCCGTCCCTGGAGAAGGACATCATGCTTGGTAAAGTAGAGGGTCAATGAAAAAGAGGAAGACCCTCAACGCGATGGACTGACATGGTGGCTGCAACAACGGGCTCAAGCATAACAATGATTGTGAGGATGGTGCAGAACTGGACAGTGTTTCGTTCTGTTGTGCATAAGGTTTATGAGTTGGAAGCAACTCGCCAGCAGCTAACAACAACTAACCTGCATAGAGATATGGTCTGGAAATGTCTTCATCAAAATGTCTTCATCAAAGCTGTTATCTTTGGTGGTGGAATTTGGGTGAGTTTTTATATTCTTTATAATATTTCAGGTTGAATTTTTTACCATTAGCATATATTATTATTTTTAGAAAATGTATTAAATCTATTTTCCTAAATAAATAAATATTTAAATGCTGTTGAGCTGTGCTTAATGAAAGCAAGTGCACATATTGGTGAGAATCAGATGAATAGGTATAGAGCTATAGTCCACATGGCCCTGGGGATGGTGGATGAGACAAAAGGGGTAAGAACAGGTAAGGCGCCCCCCATGCAGTGTGTCAGTGTTTGCTGTAGCAGGCAGAGGGAACGGAGCTTGGACACATGGAATCATGGAATCTTGAAACTAAAAAGGACCTCAAAGGTTTTCTATGGTTACTGGCAGTGCAAAAATGGCCCCCTGGGTAGTGTACAGTGGTTTCAAGCATAGGCTCTGGAAGCCAATCAAATTTGAATCCTGGCTTTGCCCCTTATTAATCCTTTGCCTTGGGCAAATATCTTACTCTCTCTGCCTTATTTTCTGCATCTGTAAAATGGAGACAGTAATATGCCTATAACACAGGATTGTCATGAGGGTTAAATGAACTAACACACGCAGAGCACTTTAAAAATCGCAGGCATGTAGTAAGTAGTTAATAAATGTGAGATATGAGATATTATTATTGTTATTACTATTACTATAGTTGAACATTTTTGTGTTTGCCCAGCTGTAACCTTGAGATACATCCTTTCTCCCCTTCCCCATAACTGTAGATCTCCTTTAAGTCTCAGCTGAAAAGCCACCCCCTCCATGAAGGCAACTCCAAATATTCCTCTTCTTCCCCAAGGTAATATGAATTCCTGTTGTCTTAAGCGTTAGTAGGTTTTTGTTCATAACACTGACCCACCCTAATAAGCTCTCAGGGTTGACTATCCACAGGGAAATCCTATCATTCTACCTGGAAGAGATATTCTAGGTGATAAACTCACACAAATACAAGCCTGTGTAGGAGTACTGGAAGTTTAGGCAGGCCTGGGGCCATCAAAGGGAGCTGGGTATAATGGTTCTAGGGTATTCTACATGTCCAGCTGGTGACTATAATGACAAACCATAGAGAGAGATAAAGGAGAAAACAGAAAAATAGCAGTGAACCAATTAAGGTTTCCAAAGTTTCATTCTACCGCTACTTCTTATTCAACATCAGGCCTAGAACTAACACATTTATGAAAAGATAAGTCATTTGGACCATGTGTTATTCTTAATTTCTAAAGCAGGGGTCAGCAAACTATAACCTACAGGCCAGATATGGCCACCTCCTGTTTTTGTATGGCCCACAAGCTGAGAAGAGTTTTTACATTGTTAAATGGTTGAAAAAGATAAAAAAGGAGAATATTTTGTGGCATGTTAAAATTATATGAAATTCAAATTTCAGTGTCTATAAGTAAAGTTTTATTGGGATACAGTCACACCCATTCATTTATATATTGTCGATAGCAGTTTTTGTGCTACAACAGTGGTGGTGTGTAGTGACAGAAACTATACGGATTGAGAAGCCTAAAATGTTTACTACCTAGCCCTTCACAGAAAAAGTTTGCCAATCCTTGTTTTAAAGCATCTCTTTGACACAGATACTCAGTGACATATCAGTGCTTTTAAGAATATTGTTTGCCTCTCCCTTTCTTCTGCTATGATACATACAGTACACCCTTACAACACCAGTTAACAATTTATGAGGAGTAAAGCGGTTAAAAGTGCAGCTGCTAACCAAAAGGTCAGCAGCTGAAATCCACTGGCTGCTCCTTGGAAACCCTATGGGGCAGTTCTACACTGTCCTATAGGGTCACTATGAGTTGGAATTGACTCGACAGCAATGGGATGATGATAATGATGGGAAAACAAAAACAGAGTATATATAAAGATACCGTATTAAAAAAAAACAAAAACAAAAATGTTGGAACCATAGATTCTCTTTTTTAAACAGAAAAAGACTTAAAGATCAACTTACTATGGCCCCTGACATGGACCCCCTTATTCCTTGGGAAGCATGAAGGAAGTAATTGGTTTCATGAGTTATTTTCAGAATTTAAAAAAATCCTGCACAAACTCACTAAGACATCTAGCTTTTGGCCAGAATTGTTAATAAATTAGAATAATAAGGGATCTTTGAAAACGTGAAAAATTTGGAAACCACTGTCCTATGAGAATACTGTTTGACAAGGGTTACATAGCAAATTAGTGACAGGCTGAGTTAATCTTGCTTCTTGGTGCTGAGTTCATCTTCCTTACTATATCTGGATCTGTGAAGAATGAATTGTGCTATAACACATTCTGAAAAGAGAAGGAGTATAGCTGAATATAGTAAGTAAACAGATTTTCTGCTGTGCTTATAACTGGTCACTAAGCCAATCAGGCAATCCTAAGAGCAGGTCACCATGTGGCTGTATCTTCCCTCCCTCTGTGACTGCAGATCCTTTCAGTATGGCTTTAAATAACCAAGATGTCACCCCAGCCACCAGATGCAGCATAAAGGTCACCCAGAAGGTATCAATGAGAAAGTGTTTTACTTCATAAGTGACTTGAATTATGACGAACTAGGAGCTTCTTGCCTCCTCTCTTTACCCCTACTGATAGCACACAAGCTTCCCATACTTACTAAGTTCTCTTAACTGTGTACCATGTGTCATTGGCTTCCTTTTCTGGACTCCAAGTGCAAGTTAAATTGCACCTATAGTAGAAGATGCAAGAAATGTTCTCAGGCTTATGTGGCAGAACTGAAAAAAAAAAAAAACCACACAAACACAACAATTTCAGTACATGATAAATACTGCCGCCATTGAATATTTTTATGAAAGTAGGTGAATCAAAAGCTAGTTTTGCTGGTTAGTTGTTAGGTGCCATTGAATTGATTTATTGTCATTGGGTGCCAATAATTTGTTGTTGTTGGATGCTACTGAGTCGATTCCAACTCATAGCAACCCTGTAAGACAGAGTAGAACTGCCCTATAGGGTTTCCTAAGCTGTAATCTTTATGGGAGCAGATTACCAGGACTTTTCTCCCACAGCGCCACTGGGTGGGTTCGAACTGCCAACCTTTCAGTTAGCAGCCGAGTGCTTTTCCCTATCAGGTCTATGGAAGGAATCTAACTCCATTTCTTCAATTATTCCCTTTGAAGAGTTAGATTTCTACTTAAAAATAAACTTTCTGTATTCATACTCAAAATCAACATTTGAGAAGCCAAAATTAAAGCACTAGGCAAATATAAGTGTTAGTGAAATACTAAGTAAAGCATCAAATGGTAGAACCACTCTGGATAACTGGGTAGTGAATGATGTGGCCAGAAGAGAAAAATACAAAATGCTGGACTATGCCACACTTAAACCTTACAAATCAATATTTTTTCCCCAGAAATGTGTATAATAGAATAAATTTCTGAAATATCTTTAGCTGCATTTTCCTATCTTATAAATCTTGTTCCTTCTGGTTCCCCACCCAGTAGCATCTATACCTTCATAAGGAGAGTAGATACTGCCATCTAGAAAGGAGTCTGGACCTTCAAGGGGCCCACAGGTAGAATTCAAGGGTCTATAAACTTACATGAGAACTTACATCATTAAAATTTAGAATTTCCTTCCATCATGAATGTAGGCAACAAACTATAATGTTATCAGTACCTGTGACTTTGTCACCATTAGAAATCATAGATATTTTCATACTACATTACAGTTGTTGCAGACATCTCGAAATATCAAGTACTACTGTCACTGTTTCTCAGTTAAGGTAATTATTAGAACTAATTATTATTAGACCTAAATTAATTTCATTATTAGGCTTTGTCCTGGTGGTGCATTGGTTAAGAGCTCGGCTGCTAACCCAAAGGTCAGCAGTTCAAATCCACCAGCCACTCCTTAGAAACCCTACGGGGGGCAGTTCTACTCTCTCCTACAGGGTCGCTATGAGTTGAAATCGATCCGATGGCAATGGGTTTGGTTTTTTGTTTTTTGTTCGTATTTAACATGTTAACAAAAAAGTACATATATTACTATGTCACAAATTTGTTACCTCCTAACAGGAAACCCTGGTGGCACAGCGGTTAAGAGCTATGGCTGCTAACCAAAAGGTTGGCAGTTTGAATCCACCAGGTGCTCCTTAGAAACCCTACTCTTGTCCTATAGAGTCCCTGTGAGTAGGAACCGACTTGACGGCAGCAAGTTTGGTTTGGTTTTAACAGGAAGGCAGTAGTAAAGCATTTCAGAATAGGTAGCATTCATCATTTTAAGTTTGGAGATTTTCTGATTTTTAAAAAGGCTCTAAATGTGCATGTGGGTTTGTGTAAACATTTATATATTTTGGTCAATGAAATGAGCACTGTCCACATGGGTAAAGGAGCCACTGTAAATGACAAATAAGAGTGAGGGAGAGCTAGGTGCCTCCATTGCTGTGTCAACATTTCCAGCTGTTTCCAGAGAAGCTGCCTTCCTCTGAGTCTTGCACATGAGCTGGACACCTGCAGCACCGACCTGTCAGCAGTTGTCACACAAACTTTCTGTCTCTGGTATTTTCATGCTGAAAACAATGACAAAGCTGGTGATCTCCAATCCAAATGCTTAAAAAGTTAACCGGACTTGAACGAAATAATATGGCACATTACATGGAGATTAGAAGCTGGACTATTAACACATTCCTTAAAGAGCACACACAGCTTGAAACCTTCACTGCTGGTTCCTTGGGTCAGTAAGCAGGATATTAACAAATATCCAGTGGGACATGCGATTCTACAAGAGGGTCAGCCAGCAAGTCCCAGGAGGAGTGAGTCGCTCATTGACCGACTCAGGCAGGTCCTGTCTCCAGGGCTCAGAGATAACACAGGTGGTGTGCATGTGTGTGTGTGTGTACGTGTGTAGGTGCACATTCGTGTGTTTCCTAAGTCCTTCAGCCAAGTTTCTAACAAATTTTCATATACTGTAGCCTTCCCTTCAACCTTCATTTCACTAACACCCAACAATGACACTAACTCTTAGCAAGATTTCAGAGTTGATCCTTTCCTGGTGCACAGAGAACAAGAAGTCTTTCCCTGCCTCTCCTCATAATATTCTTTGGTCTTGTACTATTCTCATTAAAGCCTCCTCAGGATACCAATTTTATTTCCTTCTTCATTCTCACTTTACCTTGCATTGGCTGAATCCAAAGTGAGCTAGCCGAGAAACCAATATAGGAATGCAGGGATCCAAATATCCTGCCTGCCTGCCTCAGTGAATCCTGGTCTTTCCCATTCTTCCCTGAATACTTCTCCTTAGCTCCTTCAGAGGCTTTGATTAACAGATATTAAACATCGTAGGCCAGAAAAGGAGTCAAATATCTGGATTGCAGAACCGCTTAAGTGTCACCAGGTATCAGAAGAGAAAGTGACTCTATAAATGATTTTCCACTCAACCTGGGCTGTTTTTATAGGGCTACATTTGCTTTGCCATTAAGGGTCTTCAAGGTACTGCTTGGCATATAGCAGGAGAGAATAGTATTCTTGATATTGGTATTATAGAGATTTGTGGTATGTGGTAAGTATTCATCAGTATTTCCAGTGCTCATCAATATCTCCTCTTCCTTGTAATCAAACAGGCAATCAGTCTTGCCTATTTTAACTCTAATTCTGCTTATCTCTAGTCAGAATATCAATTCTCCATCAGAAGACTGTCGCAAATGTGTAAAATTGTGACAGAGCAATGAAGGGCCCTTTACCTCTATTGTACTTTCTCCAGAAAACCATAGTCTCAGTGGTTAAGAGATCAGCTGCTAACCAAAAGGTCTGCAGTTCAAATCCACCAGCTGTTCCTTGGAAACCCTATGGGGCCATTCTACTCTGTCCTGTAGGTTTTTTCTTTTTTTTTTTTTTTTTTTTAATCACAAGAAAAGCAACAGACAAGCCCAGTAAACGAATAATTTATTTTATAAGGATCAGCACAAAGCTGGTTCCTATGAGGCAGAGGTTAAAGACGTCCCAAATGTCTAACTTTTCTAAACTGCTGTACCACTCCATCATCTCTAACATCCACTACTCCCTCTCACTTCAGTACTTTCCCTCCTGTCTTTGGGTTCCCTAATTCGCTGCAACTTCTCACAGAACTCCTAAATTGTATGAAGGAAATGGCTCACTTGGTTGCGGAGGCTGGCAAGTCCCAAATTCGTGGGTCAGGCATAGACTTCTCCCTGGTCCTCAGTCTCTGCCCAAAGGCACTCAGCTTTCTCACTCCGTGGGCCCAGAAGCCCACTGGGCCATCTCCTGCGGGTCTCTGCTGCAGGTCTCTCCTTTGATGATGGTGGGCTCTCCCTCTCTGCTCTGGAATTGGCTCTCTTTTAAGGCAAAACTGACCAATCCCCTTGGTAGGCCACAATTACCCTATCACACAATCACGCGGGTGGGAGTTACAAAACCATGGCTAGAAAAGCCACACACAAAAGTAATTAGTCATACCACACCCAGACTGGGGGACATTCTACAGGATACCTGATCAGTACTCCTTAAGACTGTCAAGGTCATGAAAAACAAGGAAAGACTGAGAAACTGTCACAACCCATAGTAGACTGGGGAGACATGACAACTCAGTCCAATACGGTACACTGAATTGGGTCCTGGAACAAAAGGAAAATACTAGCGGGGAAAAAAATGGTGAATCCAAATAAAGTTTTGAATTTAGTTAATGGTAATGTATCAACCAACATCAGTTTTTTATATTTGACAAGTGTAGTGGGGTATTATAAGATGCTGCCAGTTGGGGAAAATAGGGTGAGAGGTGTACGGGAACTCTGTACTATCTTTGCAACTTTTCTGTAAATCTAAAATTATTCAGAAATAAAAAAATTTATTTCAAAACAATGGAGAACTAAAAGCTAGATGTGCCACTTCCTTCCATCAATATTTTACCCATACCTTCAAAAACAACAGAACTATTTCCCTATTTCTAGAAATAATGGGAAATACTTATTAACTTTCCTCTAAGAAAGAATGGGAGACTATGCATTACCTCTGTTTTTGCTCATTAGAGAAGTTCTCTCTGGTTTTCAAAATTAAAAAGATGCTTTAGATCTCCCTTTTGCTCTCTAGGTTCATAACACCTTGTGCTGTTACAAAGTGTTTTGAAAAATATCTGAAATAGAAAAAGGGCAAGCCTGAGCAGACCCCAAGGAAAGGATATTTATTCCAGATGGAAAGTGGGGTGGAAACTGGAGCCTGTTATTTAGGAGACGGTATATGTAAAGAGTGATAAGAAGAGAAGGAGACAGAGATAAAAGACAGAAGAAGAAAAGAAAGGGTAATTTATGGAAGCCATAATGAATGCACATAATTAGAAATTTAGATTGCATAAATAGGAGTCATTTTTGGTTCCTGGGCTGGCCAAGAGAGGTTAGATGGGAGGAGGAGACACCGGCCTACCTGCCTCTATCGTCTATGAAGCTCCTGAGTGCCACACGTGTAATCCCAGGGGGCTGCAAGGCAGGCCATGTCAGGGCTGAGATTTGCGATACACTTTCACTCTCTGGGTTACCACTGCCCTTTTGGTGACCCCCAATTACTTCATAATATCTAATCTACCTTCTCAGTGCCCAACCCCTACTTATATCTTTTTATCTGGTTTTAATTAAAAAAAAAAAAAGATGTGATCAAACTAATGGATCTCAGATCTGCAAGACATTGCACAGACAGTAGGTTCAGTGTCTTCAGTTGGAACTTGTAGAAATATGTTGTTTCATCAGTTCCCTTTACATCCTTGGAATTCATCACAGATAGTGTGAAAACTGTATATTTTTGTACATGTGTGTTTTATATGAAGCAATTTTAGGGGTCACATATTCCTTTGATAATATGATAGACCACCTTGTCAAATAATCACAGCCGCAGGTATACATGCACACATGCACACACACACACACACACACACACACAAATTCAGGAGGTTCACAAATCCTGTTGCCATCTGTGGATGTCCATTGTCCAGGTGTCCCTTTGTTCCGAAGTTAACAATTCTTGTCCAGAGAAGGTAATAGGAATCACATGACCCATAAAAGGACCCAAGCCATCCTACCTGCCAGGCCAAATCTGCAGAGTAGAGGGAATATCCACAGTGCCAAGGCCCACATCATCCCTGAGTTACCGCAGGCAGGCTGGGGAGACAGCCAAAACTCTCATCAGTCAAGCGTTAGTTTGTTTTCTATCTCTTTCAATAACTCTATTTCCAGTTACATTTAACAGATTCTAGGGCTTGGAGAGGTGAAGGGTTATTTGTTTATTTGGCTATTGTCACATAGATCCCTTCATGATTACTTTATCAACCCCAGTCAACGTTTTAAAAACATGCAGTTACAATGAATTTTCCTTTTATCCATAATCCACTCCCCTATGTAATATGAAAACTACACCAGCTGCCAAGAATGTGTGCCAGGAAAAAAGGTACTGTGAGTCTGAATGGAGCTGAGGCCATCCTCTGGCCCCCACCTCGGTTCTCGAGCTAGCCAGCCAAGTGGAACAACTCATAGTTTCCCTAAAGCATCATGCTATTTCACATCTTGTTTTTGTGCATGCAGTTCCCCCTGCCCAGAATGCCCTTTTCCCCCTATTCCTGGGAAATTAATCCATCCTTCTAAACTCATGTCAAGGCTGGCCTTCTCTGAAAGGATGGAGTCGACCAATCAGTCACTCCTTTCTTTGTGCCCACTACAATTACACATCAGCTGTATTTCCACTATAGTACCTGTCACACAGAATGGCATCTCGCCATATAAAGGGAGCACCTTGAAAGTGGAACCTCTGTTATTCCTGTTTGAAGTCCCAGCATTTAAGGCAATGCCTGGTACATGGTTGTTGTTGCTGTGTGCTGTAAAGTCAATTCCGACTCACAGTAACCCTACAGAACAGAGTAGAACTGCCCCATAGGGTTTTCTAGGCTAAAATCTTTATAGAAGCAGAATGCTAGGTCTTTTCTCCCATGGAGCGTCTGGTGGGTTCAAACTGCTGACCTTTTAGTTAGCAGCCGAGCAGATAACCATTGTATCACCAAGGTTCCTTGGAACATGGTAGACACTCTATATCATCTGTAGAATATAATTATTTTTTAAAAACAAAAAGACTGCTGGCTTCTCATCCCAGATGAGATTGGAGGGGGAGGGGCGGTGGTGGGACATATTTACATAAAGTAAATGTAAAAGCAGTAACTCATTTCAGGACAAAATAAATGATGTTACATTTTCATCTGACATCATTATAGGAAAAAAGAAAAGAATTCTCAACAAAATAAATCATTCTAGAAAAATTCACATGCAGCATTTCTGGAAAAAACCACAGGGATAAAATTTCTCATATACAAACCAATTAAAATACCTAATTAATTGAAAATGCCTCAGGTAATAAAGCAGAATGAGAACTTGGATACAACAAAAAAAATACCATCATGAAACTGTAACAGGCTGGTTACATAAGAGTGATACTTAACCGCCTAATGTTAATCAATAGCAGTAGTTAGTCTCTCAAGAAATAACTGTTTTGATTTAAGTGAGTACAAAAATGAAGGGGAAATTTTAATTTTTCAATGAACAATAATTTTTTCTTTAAAAAATTAATAGTAAATATTTCTTGACTCCTTTACAATGAGAATATTCAACTATTATTTGTGAAATTAAAAAAAAAAAATCAACATATTATACCCAGAGACAAAGCTGGAAAAGTTTCAATAGCTGAAGATGGTGGTGGTGTACAAGTTGGGACTGCCTGGATTCTAGCACTGGTATTCTCATGAATTAGCTGGTGATTTTCCACCAAAACCCACTGCTGTTGCGTCAATTCTGACTCATAGCGACCCTATAGGACAGAACTGCCCCATAGGGTTTCCAAGGAGCAGCTGGTAGATTTGAATTGCTGACCTTTTGGTTAGCAGCCAAGCTCTTAACCACTGCACCACCAGGGCTCCCAACTTCATTCAGTCCCTCTGAATTCCTCCCAGACCAGTAGGATTTGGTTTATAGCTTTACTTTGATTCATCATTAGAAGGATCCCCTGTTCTTATTCTCTTTTAAACATAGGTTTGTAGCCTACAGTGATAATAATAATAATGGCCTTATGTTTACAAAACACTTTCACATATATTATCTCATTTGATACCTGTCATCTTTGAGGTAAATGGGGCAGGTATTTTTAGGTTGAATTATATGAAATTGCTACTTTCATAAGTAAAAACAAACAGTCAATTTCAGCCTAATAAACTAATAGTTTATTAATAAACTAATAAAACCAAAAAACCAAATCCGTTGCCGTCGAGTTGATTCCGACTCATAGCGACCCTATAGGGCAGAGGAGAACTGCCCCATAGGGTTCCCAAGGAGTGGCTGGTGGATTCAAACTGCAAACCTGTTTGGTTAGCAGCCAAGCTCATAACCACTGCACCACCATGTCACCAATAAACTAAGAGGATCCTTACTTTTTTGGATGAGAAAATTGATTAAGTACCTTGCCCAAGATGAAATGAAGAGCTTCAGATAATTACAGTCAATTTCAAAGTCTATAAATTCACTTGGGGTGTGGGCTGCCTTCATACAAAAAACATTCTGAGATGGTCAGCAACAAATTGGCAAAAACACCATCATGACATAATAGTGAGAGCTAATAACCTGTTGCCATTGAGTCGGTTCCAACTCACAGCAACCTTGTAGGACAGAGTAGAGCTGCCCCATAAGGTTTCCAAAGCTGTAATCTTTATGGAATGAGACTGCCACATCTTCCTACTGTGGAGTGGCTGGTAGGTTTGAACCATCAACCTTCTGGTTAGCAGCCGAGTGCATAACCACTATACCACCAGAGCTCCTTAGTGGCAGCTAATAGTGAGTGCTAATTACATTACACACATTATATCCTATCCTTCCCAATATCCCCACAGAGTTGGTATTATCATCTCCAGTTCACATATATGGAAATTGATGCTCAGAGATATTAAGTAATCACTCCAAAAATCATATGCTTTGTAAGTGGCATAGCTGGGATTTGAACACTTTACTGTCTTATTCCAAAGCCTAGACTCTTTCCTCTAAAATCCTATGGTAACTATTAGTGATTTACCCTTTCTCCTCAGCCCTCCTGCCATGAAACACCAAGACACACAAAGCTTTTCCTCTGAGTTTCCTAGGTCTAATTTTCTCTAGCCTAGAGTTTCCTGAAAGATACATCTATTATGTTCAGATGTTTTCTCTTGAGCTCTGACCCCCCTAATTCTCACCCCCAACATTTTTTAATAGTAATCACAACAAGATTAGATTCCCTCTGTCAACTCCCAGTCTAACAAAGGAATAATTCATGCGACAGTATCTGACCCAAAATTTCACTGAAGAAACAGAAAAAGACCCTACATAGTAGAAAAAGAGGCTGAATTTGCAACCGTTTGGTTATCAGACCCTTCTAAGTGAATGTCACACTCACCTCCATGTATCACGTGGGGCCTCACAGATGTCCTGCTGGTTCAAAGGACCCTCCAAGGCATTCCTTGCCCTACAGCACAAGTCTGGATGAGGAGGGCAATCTGGACTTTAATTTATCCACATAAAGATGCGTGAATGTTTCCCTTCTGGTTATCCAGGGGCCTTTCCTCTGCTTTTAAGCCCAGCCCAAACCAGGGTGGCTCTTACCCATTTATGCTGGGAAGTGGAGTGCATTATTGTGATTTAAAAAAAAAAAAAAACACCTGCTTCTGTTAGACCACTCAACTTTCCAGGAACCTCAAAGTGCCATAAAAACATTAAAAGTAATAACTAAATTTTGAATTGGCATTTTCTATCCAGGAAGTCCTTACAAATATGATAATGGATAAAATGTTGAGAGTGTCTTTAGCCTGAAAGGAGAATTATGCACTTGTGTAATGATCTTTCAGTGAAGAAGGAGATGAAGGAAAGAAAGTAATGGTAGCTAACTCTAAAAAGAACTTTATAATTCTTATTTATGTCTAAAAGAAAGCACAGTGAACTGGGAGTCAGAAGCCCTGGCTCAGCCACTAATAATAATAATGACAATTAATAATGCATGGAGCTCTTACTATGTGTCAGGCACAGTGCTAAGCACTTTAATTTACTTATCTCATTCAATCTTCAAAACAACCTTGTGGCATAAGTAGTATTTTTATTCCCATTTTACAGACGAGAAAACTGAGGACAAATCAATTGAGAAACTTGCCCAAAGCGGTGGAGGCAGGAATTGAACTAAAGCAGCCTGACTCTCAGTTTCCTACAAAATCAAAGTGTTGAATTTGATGACCTCTGGGATTCCTTAAAGCACTATGACTTTACCCTTTTACAACATTTTGCAACTGACTGACAAAATCATAAAGAAAAAACAGAATAGGGAAGAGATTATGATGTAAAAGGAAAGAAACCCAATCTAATCTTTAAAACAAGATACTTCGTGTTTTTTGTTTGTTTGTTTTTTTAAACCCTTTCCCCATCTTCCTCAGGCAATGGTCCACTAAGTAGGAGAATTTAGCAGAAATAAGGAGATGAAAGAGAGGTAGTCTGCTACATGCTAAGTTATGAGATATTAAAAATTCCATTATGATGAACTGTGTAGAATAGCTAAACTTGGACATCTGTTGATTAGTAAAGTGTGCAATGCTAAAAAATAGCATTTCTTTCATTATTCAACCAATATATATTAAACACCTATTATATGCATAACAGGGAATCCTGGTAGCATAGTGGTTAAGAGTTTGGCTGCTGACCAAAAGGTCGGCAGTTCAAATCCACTAGGCACTCCTTGGAAACCCTATGGGGCAGTTCTACTCTGTTCTATGAGTCAGAATTGACTTGATGGCAACGGTTTTCTTTTTTTTTTTTTTATATGCATAACAAGGAGTCCTGGTGGCACAGTGGTTAAAGCGCTAAGTTGCTAACCGAAAAGTCAGTGGTTCAAACCCACTAGCTGCTCCGAGGGAGAAAGATGTGGCAGTCTGCTTCCATAAAGATTTACAGCTTTGGAAACCCTGTGGGGCAGTTCTACTCTGTCCTATAGGATCGCTATGAGTCATAATTGGCTCAACAGCAATGGGTTTGGTTTTGGTATATGTTTAACACCTGACTAAAAGTGTTGCATATAAAATATTATTCTGGTTAAGACATGGCTGACTCAACATATGCATTTA